CTGCTCAAAATTTAAAATGAGCTCTTTTCGTAACGGCGTCAAAACAAATTTGACCAAGTATTGTTTTTTCAATAGCTCTAAGTGGGGATAATGAAATGACCTCATTTTTGCGTCAAAAGATAGCCCTCAAACAGTGGTCTAATGGTTCATTAGAATCCAGATTCAGAAAAAGAGATTCCATTTATAGGTGCGGTATATAAAAGAAAGTCTTCGCCCCAACTATACTAGGGTTTCTGAGAGGTGCTATTAAGATGCTCTGAAAGATCGTTTAACCGAGTTCAAAACTGGACATAGACACATTTGGCTAGGTTTTCGACTATGCTTTTCAACATGGCATAAACGGTTTTAAGCAATTCGAAAGAAAAATTGGACAAGGAAGTGTCGCGTTAGCTGGACAAGCCGTCCACATAATTCTTTCTTTGTGCTTTATATTTATTCCATAGACTCTTACGAACGTTTCATTTTGTTGCTTGATATCAGCAGATGATCGATTATTCAAGATGATTATCTGTTTGATGATTTCTTTGGAAAAACCATTACTCGTAGAGAGAACATAAAGATATTAAGGATATTTCTTTAAAATTTGTTCTGAAACTTTACTTGATATACTTTCAATACTCTACAACGAAAATCTCTTATCAACATATTTCTTTCTTCGCACAATGATCGACCAGAACAGAATGGCATGTTGTTTTGAAAATGCAAGGCTATGAAGTCACCTGGCTAACCGGAGGAAAAAAATCAACTAAAAGAAATAAAGAATAAAATGACTGTGATGCACATGTAAACGAGGTATGAAGGAAAAAAGGCAAGAGAATTATGTACCTACGCAACCATTTTTTGACTGACAGACATATTTTTCTTGCTCTCTATTACTTCATATTTTCAAGTTTTATATCGAGCTCAACTTCACGAACAAACAGAAATATATATTGTAGTCGCGATTTATCTGAAAACGTTTTTAGAATATTCAGAATATTCTTTTTTTAGAGAAAATAGCAAGTATTAACCACATCGTTAGCTAGTTTATTATTATTTGTATAAAAGTCGTATGTAGTGCAGGCAAAGAACACCGATCGAAATGAAAGATACTTTAATATTAATTTAACTTGGTTATGGCGTTATGTACTACAGATATCGATCACTTACATTTTAACTAGCTTCTAAAGCAATCGATATTGTCACATAGAATCATAATGCATAATATCGGTTCTTGGTTTAGTTATTTTCTATCGTTTCTATGGATTCTAACATTAACATTGATTACGATTGTCAAATCATTCTTTAGTATATCAAAGCAGTCGTCAAATGAAGTTCATCGTGGTCGTCGTATTGTAGTCGTTGGCGGTGGTATTGCAGGATGTGGGGCTGCATACGCTCTTCATAAAGCTGGATTTGATGTTACTATTTATGAAACTAGTGAAAAATTAGGTGGAAATGCAAAAACACACAAATGGAATGATGGTATTACAACAGGTTTAAGTGTATTAGCATGGCCTGCCACATATTTTCGAAATTATATCCATCTACTTCATGAGTTAGACATTCAAACCACAACTGTAAAATTACCATTTATGATACGTGATAATAATCAGCAACATTATTATGCACATGATATGGATAATACGGAACTTGTTAAAATATTTAAAAATGATTTAAAACGATGGGATAAAATCATTAATATGATAAGAAAATATACAAATATATATTGTAATAGTGAATTATCAATGTACCATATGTCTTACTTTAATGTATTCAATTATATACCCTTAAAATTATTATGTTTTTTATTTAATATTAGTGATAGATTTTATTCAACTATAATTGTATCAGTTTATTCATCATCGTTTTTAACAACTAATCTACGTTATATACCATCATCCATTTTACCTTTAATAGATGATTTAATATCGGTACAATACAATCGTACTCCTACAATGGATACATGGATGATGTCAACAAGTGATGATGTATTCCAAAGAATGACTAAAAATATTCAAGTCAATACACTAACACCTGTCACATCCGTGTATATTAACGAGAATAATAGTCATATTTATATTAATAATGATCCGAAATGTTATTATGATAGGATTATATTTGCATGTGATGCAGAGAGTACACTAAAGGCATTGAATAAACAAACATCTCTACTATTACAGACATTACTGAAGAATATAACATATACAGATGATGATGATATATCATTTATTAAAGGTATAGTACATAGTGATGCTAATGTATTACCAGAACAATACAAAAGTTTATTAGTTTCAAAATATTCAAATTTTATTGACGTTAGATATGATCATCATTACCCGATCTATCATAATACATTTATTCTATCATCATGGGTACCAGCTGCTAAAGATCACGTTAATTTAAAGCCTATGTTAGTAACATATAGCTCAGACCAATCAATTTTATCTTCTATTAATCCAAACTTAATTGAAGGTACGATATACAATAGACGTGCACATCCATATTTAACATTACGAAATATGTTAATTTCGATGTTACTGAGATTCGTTCAGGGCAAACAACGGATGTATTTTTGTGGCTCGTACTGTACACCTGGTAATGGTCACGATTTATCATTGTTAAGTGGATTTGTTGTCGCTCACGTTATTGGTGCTCCTTATCCATTTGAGATAAATTCTTCAGCTAAACGAGATTTTCTACGTCTTCAACGTATAATGGGATTAGAATAATAATTAATTGGATGATTTCAATCTAATTGTCATCGATCTTTGTTAAACCTAAAGTTTTATTTTTTGTGTAGAGAGTAGCAATTGTTTAGAAAAAGAATTGATGAATTAATCGGCAGTTAGTTAGAGGTATTCAGGTCAAAATAATGGTATACCGACATTTGGATGCAACGGCATTTGGGTGCGAACGACATTTGGGTGCAACGATAGTTGAAGTTCAAAGGCGCTGGGGTGAGTGAGGGTTAGTGTAAGTATCGATGAAGATTAAAGAAACAAGTTGTACTATATAGAAAAACTCTCACACCGTACCACGTTTGTTTAGAGAAAATTTTATCGTTATGCGTCATACTTTAACAAAAGCACTCTTACTGAATGCTTTTGTCGTACATGCGCGCAATTGTCGTTGCGCTCAAACGTCGCGTACCCAAATGTTGTTGCGCCCAAATGTCATGCGCCTAAATGCGGTTCGCGCCCAAATGTCTGGTAATCCAAAATACTTCTCCTTCGTTTGATGATTTCTTTTCCGCATAGTACTGGAAACCGAATTTAAAAGCTAAGCAAAATTAAGATGCCCTATTTCGAGGTGTATACGTATATGAATACACTTTCCATGCCCATAAACCAACGAAAATGTTTTGTTACTGGAAGATGTCTTAGTAACCAAATTCTGTTCACTATGATCGATTAACTATAGTAATTTTTAAAAAAGTGCGGGTGCTTATTTTCTGAATAAAATATGAACGAAAAGAGATAAAGATTTGCAGTTTTTGGCTTTGAAAGGTAGATACGTGGTGGCAAAACCGATCTAAGCAAAAACCATCGTGAACCACCTACAGGTAGTGTGCCTATGAAGTTTGTCCGAGAGAATTCTGAGATCGTAACACCTTATGGTGATCTTTAGGTTGGGAGCATTGTTCGCTTTTTCGATCTTATAATCATATTTATCAGCAACATTCATGATATCGTGAGCTTTCGTTCTGATGTTTTTTGAGTGCACAGTGAATCTTTTAATATTAAGTGAAGATAGGTATGCATCAGTTTTTAACTGGTCTTGGGGCATCCGGGAGAATTGCTATACATCAGTTATCACGATTCTCTCAGAGCTGTGAAACATCTCATTTTGTAGAAAAATGTTTGCAATTGTCTACAAAATGCATGTGTTAAAAAGATTCGAGAATCATTTCTAAGAAAACTCAGAGCATTCTAAAATGTACTAAATCAAGGAAAAAGCTGTCCGAACAGTGTTTTTTCTGTAATTTAATGTACTTTTGGATACTCTGAATTTTCTTAGAAATGATTCTCGAATCTTTTTTAATGAAATAAGAATGAAATTTGTCGTGGCTGTCGCACAGAATGAAAAAAAAGTTGGCCGCCGGCGCTGTGATGAATCATNTGATGAATCATTGATAACGATTGAAAATTTCGTTGATAGTATTGTTATCATTCTCATAATAATGACTTATTTTCTCGTTAACCACTCCACTTCATATATCATTCGATAGAGAATTTATCTGGCTTCAAAATGATATATAAGATAGTCTTAAGAAAATGTAACTAGGTAGCCTAACACTCGAAATACTCGGTAGTTTCCCAGGATACCGGTAGGTCAACGTCGCTGATATTGATAACGGTGACTAATTTTCTTGTCAACCACTCTACTTTACACAGCATTCGATAGAGAATTTGACGGGCTACAAAATGATGTATAAGATTATCTTAAAAAGATGTAGCCGGGTACTTTAAGATCCGAAATACTCGGTAGATTCCCAGAAAACCGCTAGATGAACGTCGTTCATCTCTTGAATAGTGGCTAATCTTCTCGTTAACCACTCCACTTTATATGCCATTCGATAGAGAATTTTAGGAGCTTCAAAATGAGCTATAAGTAAGTCTTTCAAAATATGCCCCCATTGGTCAATAGTTGAAATACTTGGCCGATATAATGATTTTCCCTTGAAATTCTCTATGAAGTGAGCTGGTCACAATGTCTAGACAGGCGGGGCCAGTCATTAAAGATACGGAAAAGAAGTTTTTGGGTGTCATCTAAGCAGTGTATCAGAATCACGAGAACTCCCTTATTTCTGACTTATTAGTAAAGCTGGCACGAATCTGAATAATGTTTTGAATAGCCCGAAGAGTTTTCTATCAGATGAGGCGAAATGGCCCTTGCATGAGAGAAGTTGATAATAGAGCTTCTGGAAAACCAAGTCCTTAGTATTTGGTCAGAAAATTTTGCAAACCATATGGTCTGATAGAGCAAAGAAATCTGAGCAAAATAAGACATCTCCCGGCATTTTATAGTGTTTTTTTACGTAACTGCACGGCCTGGCCAAATGTGACGGAATTCCCGTTTTTTGGACTTCTTTGAGCCAGATCTCACTCATTTTAAAAACATAGGTTTTCAAATTTTTACTACACATAAAGAACTTCGA